TTCCGTTGTAGAATCCAAGGAAGCTACAAGCAAGGTGTTTGCATGTGGAGCAGAAGGAAATTGACTAATTGGCATCTCGTCTCCGCGGATATATATATATATATATATATATATATATATATATATATATATATACATATACATATATATATATATATATATATATATATATATATATATATATATATATATATATATATATACATAGATATGTGTCTATGTATATATATAAAAATATATACATACATACATATATATATATATTATATATATATATATATATATATATATATATGTCAACATGCTTGAATAATCGGCGCTTTCCCGCCTCACGTGACCTGTCAAAATAGGGCAGAGCTTTGCCGTCACCCGAGTGTACAGCACCATAGCTAGCCAATCAGCACAGAAATTGTTTTCAATTGCAGATTCTTTTTTTATTTTTTCATCATCATTATCATTATAAGGAGTGCAACAAAAATCCACTTTTTTGTTTGAGCATGCGAATCTTTTTTATTGTTATAATGAAGCTTGCAAAACAGGAAAAGATCATATTTCATCGTGTTACCACAGAACCCAATGGGGATGACGCTACCTACCTTCTAGATTCCTTGGTAGAATCAGTCATTAGGGGAAGTGATACACGAGGCTGCTGTACCAGATTATTCAACCTGTAAAGTTTACCAAGTTATAAGTAGCTATAAAACAAGTATATTCCCCAAAAAGACAGACAAGTAACATAATTGCAATACTGACTTACGTATGAAACAGCCAATATCAGAGAGAGTGAGGAAGACCTGGAAAATACATTCTTGATCATAAACTTTATGTGACATTTCTACCGTTTATACTGAGTTACACAAAACATGGCAATAGATTAAAGGACATAGACAATTTAGTAAACAAATTGAACAAAAGTTTGCATGGCCTTCATTTGTTATGCTTATCCGCAATAAACAAAGAGATAATATCAAAAACTTACACCATCGCGCATCCCCATGTGACGCTGCCACAGAATCATGTTAAGATAACCACCACCATTCAACCTAAAATACATGCATTATTGATATTCAAGTCCCCTTTTTTGTGCTAATATAACATAGACCTAACTCAAAAAATTCAACAGTACTGCATGACAAATACGTGCGTCTGAAATTATAATAATACCACTAATGAAAAATTCAAATATCAACACATTTCTTACATTCCGTTTCCCATTTTATTCCATATTCCACATACCATGAACTTTAACAATTAATCATTTACCTCCACAGTAACTGCATAAAATAATGATGTTATAATCCTCACAACACATACCTTCGTTCCATAATTCAACAAAAAAACTCATCCATGTAAAATAATGTACGCGGTGCAGCTCGATCCAATCAAAGCAAAGACCCACAATGCATTGCGTGAGACGCTGGTAGATACTACAAAACACCACAAAATACAAATCCACTGAAGAAATGCACATGACCAAAGGTTTGGAACAAATACCCAGGAAATTACAAAAATATTATCCGTGATATGTGATCACTAATAACACACTCCCACCACCCAAATGTGATCCTTTACACACGATTCGACTAAGCAATGTTTACAATTTAAATCACTTATCACAAAACACATTATCTAAATTTTCATACTACATGAGAGAAATATGAAATAAGTTTAGCCTTAACATTTACAGTTTCAAAAATATACATATACATTCAATAATGACAATCATACAAATATCCAGTTCAAAGAAAAAGTCCAAAATAGTAAATTCAATATTCTAACTCAGGAATGGTCTTATACCTTGTAATCTTCAACAGGTAAGATTACAATAACTTTGTGTGCTGATCTGTTAACAGTTACATCTGATCCTCCTTTACAGATTCTGTTTGACTAGGTTTTTATACCACACGCACACATCTCTTATCCTTACCGGGAGTGGCAGAGATCACTTCTGCCATTCTCCAATACCCCCTCATCGTATTATGGTTTTGTATTGAGACTATATCTCCTACTTTAATATATCTCCTTTCATAAAACCACTTTGCCATACTATGAGGGTAGGAAAGTAATCTCTCTGCCATCTTTTCCAAAAGGATAAGATTATCTGAATATGCTCAAAGCTTTTTCTGGGATTACTGGATTCAGCCCAAATACCAGAAGGAATAAAATTAATTGACCTACCTAAGATCAAAATCATTTGGACACAAATATGAGCCAAGACTGATGTCAGAACCTGGTCTGATGCCAATAGGGCGACAATTCATGAAATTGGCCATTTCGAGTTCTTAGGAAATTATTCTGTTACCTACTGATAAAGCAATGGCTCTCTTTACTAATAACTTTCTCTCTCTCTCGCTCTCTCTCTCTCTTTCTCTCCCTCTCTTTCGCTCTCACTATCTGTTTTTCTCTTCATTAATCTGATAAAAAAATCACTGCATCCATTTTCGCAAGGTGCCTCTGCTGGCCTATTAAAATGCCACGCCATTCCCTCTATAGAACCAAAGGCTAAAATATAGGCCTTGTTCCAATTCTTTACCATATTTCTAAACTTCTTGTTGTCCGCCACTAATTCTGTTCCTCCATGTGAGTATACAGGGAAACCATGAACAGAGACGAATCTCCGGAGAACCATGAAAAAACTCTGTATGATAGCTTTCCGCAAGATCTAAAAATACAGCTATGCGGACTAAACAATTAAGCACAACAACAGACCTTTTGAGTTTTACACTTTACAGTATCCTTTACGATGAAGGCTCCGTATAGGTCGAATACCGTATTGGAAAGAGGTGGTAGCACGAGAAAGTCTTGCCTCAGGTAATTCTCCCATTCAATAAGTTCTCAGCACTCTGTTAACTCTTTTACGAGGCACACATTTAGCTTTGATAAATTTTATCCATTTCCGAGCGGAGGGAACCTGGTATTTCTCTCTCTCTCCTTTCTCTCCCTCCTCTCTCTCTCTCTCTCTCTCTCTCTCTCTCTCTCTCTGTACCTTCCTCTCTCCCTCTCTTCTTCCCTTCCTCCACTTTCTTCCTTTCTCTCGCTTTAACTTTCTTTCAAAGACACTATGTCGGTCTTACTCTCTCTCTCTCTCTCACTCCCTTTCTTTCTTTCTCTCTCTCTCTCATTCATCCCTAACTGTCTAACTCTTCCTAACTCATTCTCTCCCCCACCTATCTCTCTCTTTCTCTCCTCTCTCTCTTTCTCTCCCATCCCCCCTCTTTCTCTCTGTTACTCATTCTCTCTTTCTCCATCTTTCTGTCTGTCTATCTCTCTTGATCTCTTTCTCTCTCTATCTCTCTTTAGCTATATTTCCTTCTCTCTTTCATATTTTTCTTTTTTTTCACTCACTTATTCACTCTCTTTCTCTCTCTCTATCTGTCTATATATATTTCTTTCTCTCTCTGTTACTAATTTATTCTCCCTCTCTCTTTCTTGTTTTCTTTCTCACTCACTCGCTCACTTACTCACTCTCTCTCATTCTTTCCGTCTTTCTCTCTTACTTTATCACTTTTTATCTCTTTTTATTCACTCTCTTTCTCCATCTGTCACTCCCTTTCTCTATATATTTATCCATCCACTCCTCTTCCTCCCCCATCCTGCCTTTCGCCTTCCTCCCCTTCATCGCATCCCCCCACTCTCTCTTTCTCTGTCTATCTATACTTTCTCTCTCTCTCTCTCTCTGAATCAATCAATTCAAAGACGCTCCCTCTCTCTCCTTCTTTCTCTCTCTCTTTCTCTGTATCTATATCTCTCTATCTGTTGTGTGCGTGTTTATATGTTTTTTTTTCTGTCTCGTTCGGTCGGGCTATCGATAGTGGCTCTCAAGAAGTGTGAAAGAGGCAGGGCACTATTTCCTCTTTTCCTTGGTCATAAAGGAACGTCTTTTTTATATTGGTTTCACCATTAAGTGATATGAACGCATCTGTCAGTTGTAATATAGCAATTGTTATTATTGTGGTGTTGGAAAGAAAAAAAAAATATATATATATATACATAATATACATAATATATATATATATATATATATATATATATATATATATATATATATATATATATATATATAATTTTCTATATTACGTCCACATAACCGACGATTCGTATCGTTGGATTCCTCTCACTCTCCACATTGCAAATATATAGTTTTTATTGTGCGGAAACCCCCCGTTAGCGACAAACTTGGCCCCGATAGCAGGGGAGGGCATGAAAATAACCATGGTTATTCTGCGACCCCCCTGGGGGGGCTGCCGCCCCCCAACCCCCGCCGAGGAAACAAAACCTCCACCACGTATTCCCGGCAGGCTAGAGCGTTACACAATCATCGTCGATGTCGGAGCGGCGGGCGTAAATAAATTCGTAAGATTACCACTGAATAGCATATTAACCTTGGCATAGTCAGCATTGTATATAGACGATTGTAGTAAAATCAGGATGAACAGGGTGGCCCGCCCTCGTAGGCAGGTTTTGCGCCTCTTTCGATGTTACACCAATGGCCTCAAGGTCGATTTTCCCTTCCTCTGGAATAACGACATTCGTATTCCTAACCGAAATAACCGTCGCGTTCAGAAGGCAGTCATAGCCGCCGCGATGGCCGAGTGTGGAGTGTGCTCGTATTCGGAGACGGATTTTCTGCGCGAAATTGCAACTAGCCAGGAAAAAATGCTAGAGATGTGCTTCCGCCACGGCCTCCTCCGTCGGGAGAAAGCTGTATCCTCCGGCCTAGGACCTCCTGCCGGACGCACCCTGCCTCCTTAACATTCTGCGGCAAAGGAGCACCTTCCCTACTAATTAGCGGCATTAATCAATCAGGTTAGTACCTTAAAAATCCTAGGTTATTGTAGGTTATCGGCCGCATCTAGTTCGTGTGCGCTCTATCCTGCCGTGAATACGTGGTGGTTTCGTTTCCTCGGCGGGGGTTGGGGGGCGGCAGCCCCCCCTTGCACCTTCCTTACTAATTAGCGGCATTAATCAATCAGGTTAGTACCTTAAAAATCCTAGGTTATTGTAGGTTATCGGCTCCGCATCTAGTTCGTGTGCGCTCTATCCTGCGTGAATACGTGGTGGTTTCGTTTCCTCGGCGAGGGTTGGGGGCGGCAGCCCCCCCCAAGGGGGTTGCAACCATGGAAAGCCATGTAAATAACCATGATTATTTTCACTGAGGTTATATTATTAGGGTAATATTATATATTACGTCCGCCGCTCCGACATCGTCGCCCCCGCTATCGGGGCCAAGTTTGTCGCTAACAGGGGGTTTCCGCGCAATAAAACCTACATGTTTGCATTGTATAGAGTGAGAGGATCCAATGATACGAAAATCGTCGATATCGGTCATGCGGACGTAATATATAAAATTACCTATATATATATATATATATATATATATATATATATATATATATATATATATATATATATATATATATATATAAAGGCGATACATGTATTAGTATCAAATATCTATGCATGGGTATCGCCTTAGACAATTTTGTGTACCGATGCCCATCACTATATACAAATACCACCGATAAAATGCTATAAACAACGGAAATAATATTTGTGACGTAAAATTGTTTTTTTAAATAAAGGTAAATTATCCCTCCATTAATTTTCAAAAATCGTAAACAACGAGTAACGAGGCCTATAACCTCCAGAAATGACATTTCCCGGTGTCATGTCCCTGAAATGTAGGACTCGTTTTTTACCGGCCGCTCGTCGTCTCCGCAGCACCAGACGGCCAGGGAAGTGCCCGGGCGCGGCCGAGATCAGGCTGCTGCCACGCCCGCTCGCCCGGAGAACGGTAGCTCTGGTTACGTCACTTGGTCATTTGGTTTGAGACAAAAATACTTAAACACTCACACCCACCCAAAAATAAACACGCACATATGTGTGTGTGAATGTATATATATTATATATATATATATATATATATATATATATATATATATATATACAACTTTTATCTATCTATATATCTATCGCTATATACACACACACACACCACACCCACACACGCACACGCACACACACATACAAACACACACACACACT